GGGCTTCGGGCTTCGGGTTTGGGGCTTAGGGCTTAGGTTACATTGCATCGATGAGCTTCGGACGCCACCTGCACATACTACGGGGTTTCGGGTTCAGAACTTATCAGACCTTAGGCTCCACGCGTGGTGACTGCGAGGTGGGTGATGCAGGGGTGATGACAATGATTCCGCCCATGAACCCAAACCTCTCCTCCAAGTGACAGATTCACAGTGGCCCAAGCTACCAAACAAAGAAAAGAGAAAGGTTTGCCCAAGCCCGGATCGTTGAGCCTGAACCTCAGATGACATGAACGGCTCAGTCCGGCACGTCTTTGACAGACGTGGCACCAGCAAATCGCGCGGACAAAGCCTTGAACTCGAACGACCACCACACCTGGACATGTCGAGTTTGGGGTTAATGTTGCAAGCGGTACTGTAAGAGTACTATAGGGCGTGCTATAAGGGTCTAGGGTTGTCTGCGGGGCTTAAGGCTGAAAAAGCTTCCAGGGGCTTCAGGTTTACACCTGAAGGTTTTGGATTTTGGGCATCCTCAGCCCAGCTGACTCTCACAAGGAGCGCTAGAAACCAGGATCCACAAGATCTCCCAGCTCTGCATGCCTCAGGCCGCTGAGAGTAGAGTCTCGCAACCTGCTATTTCTCAGTTTTTGAGGATCATGACATTAAACTCATACCCAAGTCCACTCTTGCTAGTAATGACATGCGAACCAAGCCTATGCCTATTTCACCGTTACCTCACTAGTGAATCGAATCGTCCCTGCCGCTCCTGCCACCGTTGCCGTTCCTCTGTTTACTGCCAGCACAGGTGATGCCACCATTACTGGCTGCTGCGACCGCCGTCGTCGCAGTCATCATGTCGCAACAACGACGAATATAGCAAAACTAGCAACAACAGCAGCTGCAGCAAGATTAGGTGTCGTCTACTCTTGCTGGCACGAGATTTATTGTTAGTATCGAGCGTTGTGCGTATGGCTATGAAACCATGCCCACATGAATGAAACCGGGGAAGCTTACAAGTGGGGGTGTCAATAGCAACAATACAAGACCTTCAATTTCCTTACAGTATCATCTACCCTTCAGGCCCCTTTAGCAACGAGCCCCGTCCGTTATAGATCCCTTACTCGACTCCTTACATGATCGTACCCTTTAAAGGAACCCCACTCTACTCATTACATGGGCCCCTATATTCGGATTCCAGGGCCTGCTTGGCCGAACGAGGGCCGACGCCCTCGGCGCCTGGGCTGAAGGGGATCTCGGGCTCGGGGTTGTTAAAAGCAGACCTTTCTTTGAACATGGTAGAAACCGACAACATCAGATTCAGGCAGAGGAACACCTACTGAGAGCACCTATTCACCTCAAGCTGGGATTTTGAGTGTCGGCTCCACGTCTCGTGCACGTTCATGAAAGTGCAGTTGAAGATAATAGTGTGCCCAGTAGCAATTGCTGACCATCGGGCCACGCGCCGTGGCCTCTCAAAGTTCTGTAGGCCGGGACTGAGAGGCACTGAGAGTTTCCCGGTCTTGTTGCATGTATGTATGTACGTATGTATGTATGTACGTATGTACGTACCTAAGTGGATACGTATGCATGCGTGCACGCATGCATGCATGCATGCTTGTATGTATGTACATACCTAAATAGAAACATATACACTAATACATATATGCATGCATGCATACATATATAATACGAAAAATATGTATAAATATATATATATATATACATATACATATACATATACATATACATAGACACACATGCACATGTGTGCATAGGCACATACACACAATAAGAACATATGTATAATTACATAGACACATGTATACATATTTAGGTATTCGTTTGTTGTCATACACAGATCGACAAATAGACAGACAGATAGATAGGTAGATAGATAGATAGACAGGTGGATAAATATATAGATAGGTAGATAAATAGATAGATCCCACGGGAAGAGAGCGCGAGAGACGAGAGAGAGAGAGAGAGAGAGAGAGAGAGAGAGCGAGAGAGAGAGAGAGAGAGAGACAGACTGTGTCGAACGAAGGTTGAGGGCGGTCGCACTACAACTGGATGAGCGTTGGGAACGAAGGCACGCTGCTTGACTGCAGCACAGAGCAAAAGAAAAGCTCGCATCCGGCGCTCATCTGAGCCCACGGACTCGTCAAACTTGCAACCTTTGACCGTCGAAACGCGAAAGCCGACGAGCCTGCTCCACACAGGCTGTCATGACTCTGTGATGCACCACGCAGGGACATACCCCTACAAAGCCAAACAGCAACGGAGACAACGGCACGGGGTTGCAAGACTGTTCACCACGAACTCAAGTGAAACAAACGGCCCCTGAACACGGGAATGACTGAATACCGGCGAAGGGCGGGATGTTTGAGTACTGTGGTCATTGCCTGGTAGCGCATTGGCTTTTGGACAGATACAATAGAATTTAAAAGGCTAGCCCCTCGTCCAACCGGGAACCTCGTTCCTCTTGGCCTTCAGCTGATGCCCCATCCCAAGCCGAAAGCGGAAACGATTGCATCTGCGAGGCTTCGAGAGCTCTGGCCTACAGTGCTTGGATCTTTCGGTTTCAAGGCTTCGGATGCAAGCTTGAAGGTTCAGCGTTTCGCGCTTCGGGTTGTGAGATGTTTCTTTTCTCCGAATTCAGATCCTTGAAGCTGGCGGCGCCTGGAGATTGCAAGCAGGTGAGACAGCTCTGTGTTGAAGCCCGGAGCAAGCGTCTTGAAGATCCATGGGTCCATGCGTACGCGTATCATAAGGATACTGCTACTACTACTCCTGCTACTCCTACTCCTACTCCTACTCCTACTCCTACTCCTACTCCTACTCCTACTCCTGCTCCTCCTCCTCCTCCTCCTCCTACTACTACTACTGCTACTACTACTCCTGCTGCTGCTACACTACTACTACTACTACTACTACTACTACTACTACTACTACTACACCACCTACTACTACTACTACTACTACTACTACTACTACCACCACCACCACCACCACCACCACCACCACCACCACTACCGCCACCACTACCCAATCTGCCTGTTTCTCCTCCCGTGGATCTTTCAGCTTAACGTGTCGAGTCGTGAAGAGGAGCGCCCTCTTCCGGTCGACCCAGGGCGGCCTGCAGGTTCGGGTAGGAGATCACAGGGTAGGGCAGGGCAGGGTAGGGTCAGGGTGGGCCGAGTAGGACGTGCAAACTCAGGGCGTAGGGTCCAGGGCTCCGGGCTCTGGGTGTAGGGCTTGAGGATGCTTGAGGCTTGGGGCTTGGGGTCTGTCAAGAAAACTCGGAATCCCACCTTTTTCAAAAGAGCTCTGCAAATTTTGGTGGCTCAAATCAAAACGATTCTAGCAATCACTGGCTGGGAATCTAGGCATCACTTCTGTCAATCACCAGAAATGCTCACCCAGACACCCCCTCAGGGTTCAGGGAAGCAGCCAGCCCTAGTTTCAAAAAACGCCTTGCTAAGCCTACGAAGACCCATGGCTTAAAGCATTGCTCCCAAATGCCGGCCTGAGGGAGACGTCAGCCCACGGCCGTGCGCAAAGGTGACTGGGCTAGGCCTCATGCGGCGGTGTCAACGCATCACCGAGCTGATCGTGAACCCAGTATGCTGCTCGATTCCGGAGTCGCATGAACCTCAACGATGGGTGATACCAATACTCATAAGATTTCACAAGAACCATAAGAGATCTATGGTTGCAAGCTATCATGGTGACTACTGATCCCTGAACTCCAAACATGAAGAGGGAGATCGTGGCCTGCAGACCGCGGCCCCGGCATGGCCTGAGCAGTCGGGGGCAGAAGTCGGAGTGGGCCGGGATGCCCCGGGTCTAGCAGTTATAGGCTTTGGGGTTTGGGGTTTAGGGTTTAGGGTCTAGCAGTTATAGGCTTTGGGGTTTTGGGTGTAGGGGTTCAAGGTTGAGGGTTTCGGGTGTAGGGGTTCAGGGTCCAGGGTTTAGGGGTGTCGCGAATTACTATGAAAGTGACCAGGTACTGCTTCACCAAAGGGGGCTCGATCGAGCTTAAGGGAGGAGTTCGGATTAAAGGATTCGGCCTCCCAGATCTTAACACTCACCGAGATCCGAAAAAATCCGAAAAACCCTGCGTAGCACACCCCCAAGCCCCAAAAAAAGCAGCCCTAACCCTAAACCCTAAACCCTAAACCCCAAAGCCCCAAAGCCCCAAAAAAGCCGCGCTCCACTCGGATCCCAAGCCAGCGGCCGCCTGAGTCTCGTAGGATCCGTTGGTTGCGTCGCCTGCCCCGAGTGCAGGTCGAAGTCTATAGGATTTGGGGCTAGGGTTTAGGGTTTAGGGTTTAAGATTAGGGTTAGGGTTTAGGGTTGCAGGTTAGGGGTTAGGGCTTAGGGTTTAAGACTAGGGTTGGGGCTTAGGGTTTGAGATTTGAGGGTCATGAAGGTGGATATGTCACTGATGCGCGGGTTTGAAGCTCGTAAACCTACCCTCAGGTTACGTCCTCGCTAGATTCTACTGCTTGACGCCCTACACCCGAGCCCTAAAAAACTCTTCTGCACCATAAAACTTATAACGTATACTACATGAATCTTCCTATATGACATATAACCTATGATGTATAAGATATCAGACATAAGACATGAAGTATTTTATATGGCTAATGATTCCACGTTCCCAGCGGCCTGCGCACGGAGTCTGCCACTCCTGGGGCTGCAGATTCAAGCCGTGGGGGTCCGGATCCAAGAGTAGCGGATTTCGGAGAAGGTGGGGCTGTAGCCCCGGGGCTGTAGAGACTTTAGGTTAGGGTGTTAGGGTTAGGATTTGGGGAATGTAGGGTTTTAGGGCCTTTAGGGGTTTGGGGTTTGGGGGTTAAGGTATGGGCACAACTTAGGGCTTAGGGTTTGGAGCCTCTTCTGGCCTATAGCTGCTTAGGGAGCAGTGCCAGCGGTAGCAGTAATGCCACGGAGACCAAGAGTAAGAAACAGCGGAAGAAAAAGGTGCTGCAGCTGGTGGTGGAGTGATGGTCCGCTGCTGCTGCTGCTGCGCTGGCGACGGGGATGGTGGTGATGGTGGTTGCAGGAGTCGTCGTATTCGTCCAGTAGTGAACTGCCACAGCACTGCGATGTTCCAATGATCGCGCCACCACCGACACAACTGACTACCACCAGGACTACCGGACTCCCACGACAAGCAAAAACCACAAGCAGCAGAAGCACCACCGCCACGACCACGACCACGACCGGAACCGCGGCCACGACCACGACAACAACTACGACCACAAGGACGAGCAAGACCATGACCACCAGCACAACCACGGCCACCACGACCACCAGCACCACCGCCACCCCGCCACAACCACCTTGTGACAATGACGGTGATGCTGAAGTCGTGATGTAGCATGATTAACGCAAGCCCCAATCTTGTGCACAGCCTGGAGCTTGGCGTTGGACGCCGGCACACCTGCCGACACCCCCATGATGTATGTTGGTTCTCAGGAGTGAACCCTAAGTAAGCTAAGCATCATACAGGGTTGCAGTGCTTATATGCAGAGCCTGCATCTGATGTGATTTGTACTCGGCGGGGCTGCAATGTCAGGGTTCGGAGCTTACGAGTCCATGGGCCCAGGCTCGGGGCTCGATGGTTTCTCATCTTCGCTGCTGATACTCGGTTTTTTCACCAGAACGCTGAGAATCTGAACCCGCATGCCGCACACAGCCCGAGGAACTAAAACACGCCACAGTCCCAGCCACCAAAGGACCACTCCCAGGCCTCCAGCAGGGCCTGCACCATCTCTCATGCGGCAATGCAACTCGTCCATCTCGGCACTGAGCATGTCGAGCCTTCCGCGGCTCTGAAGCAGTCGGCAGGGCTTGGCAGCAGATCGAAACACTCTATCTCACATTTGTGTGCTAGGTGTTGGTCAAGGTTCCACCCAAATCTGCAACTATGTCGATGGCGATAAACAACAATCTCAGCTGTGGGTTTTACCGTAAGCTCCTCCTCCATTTCCCAGTACTCGCAGCACTGCTACTGCTACTACCACTACTACTACCACGAATACTACCACTACTACTTCTACTACTGCTTCTACTGTTACTGTACTAGGCCTCTGACTTGTTTTGGTGATCTACAGTTTCGTCTCCCTGCGGTCGCTGCGCCGGAGGCAAGGCGTTCTTGCCTGCGGCGGCCGGGGACTCTTGCTGCTAGAGGGGCTAGGGTTTCGGGTTTAGGGTTTAGGGTTTAGAATACTTCGCTAAACTCTAAACCCTAAATCCTACCACCTTAGATGTTTTATGGATTTAGGGTTTATGGGTTTGTGGGATTTATGAATTTGTCAGATATGGCCCTGAACGGCTAGAGTGGTGTTTTGGAGTATATTGCCAACACAATCCTTACAAGAGGTTCGATAACGCTTTGTGGGAATAGGGTGTATAGCAACATCAGTTTAGAGAGATACTCCAACATCCTGCGCTTAAGGATCTTGATAAGTGTTTTGGGACTTCAGTTTTCGGCGGTAGACAAAGCTCTGCAGTAGTTTATATACCCTAGACGGGCAGTAGTTCAGGGTTTAGGGTTTAGGGTTTAGGGGTTTTATGTACCCTTGATGATGGGGATCACGGAATAACCCCTCTTGTTGATAATGAAGAATTTTGGACATTAGCAGCTAAAGGGTCCTCGGTCTTCGTTTAATGAAAGCTGCCTGATGATTCCTTAATTGCAAATACGCATTGATTCTTGCGTATTCTTGCGGTAAACTGAACAAGTTTTTTGTGCCCGGTCTCTGAAAGGACATACATTCGGTTTAGCGGAATGCTTTCGGCTTGGCCTCGCATTCCTCAACAATTACAAATCCCCTGTCATTGTCGCCATCGTTTGCATCGGCACGCAACCATCTCACAACGCAGCACCATGCCGTCGTAGCAAGCAATGCTCTCGCCGTCATCATCATCACCACCACCATCAGTCTGACCATCACATACATTAAAAATGATCATCACCTTGCTCGCGACATGTCCGAGCCAAACAACTTGCCCGCAAAGAAACAGCATACAGACACCGAGAACTAGTTCAGAAGAACCGGGTTTGCTTGCTTGCACTTTCTGGTTTCGGCGGCTTTGGTTTGTCGAATGCGCTCTTGCCTCTCCAGCCGGTTGGTCACGAGACCCGCGAAACCTAGGGGTTTCAATGTGCCTCCGTGTTCTGCGGGGATGTCCTCTGACGCTCAACTTTTTCGTGACGTTTGCACGGAATGCGCGGGAATGCGGGCGAGGCCTTACGACCAGTGAGAATGCTTGATGCCTTAACTTGTCCTCACAGACATCTCTGACGGAGGGAGCAAGTCCTAACAGCAAAACAGGCCAAACTGATTCTAGTGTGACCTTGGAGTCAGTCCTGTTCAGAGGAAACTATACATGTCGAAAGAGTGACCTGTCCCGGCGATTCTTGTCCAGGGAAGCAGGCATCAACGTCATAAGGGCATTTCCTGGCACCCGCTGTCCAAGGAAACAAAAGCCCCAGCAAACTGAATTAACAGCGTATACATGTACAAGCCACAGATGAGGTCTGCAAAGAATGCAGACATGAACATGCAGAATGACTAAACACGTCCAGGAGAAAGACCCTAAACCCTAAGCCCTGGAGAAAAACATGAATCAATTGTGGGGACTCACTGTTGCAGGCATCCACCCGCCATTCCCACAAAGGCCTGGGTCAAGCAAAGCAAGGCTTCTTATCTGCAATTAGTATGTAAGGCTTCTAGGGTCCAGGGTTTAATGATGTTTAAGGAACCATGCCGCTGGATGCCAAGGCGTTCGAAGCTGCAGCTTCTATCTTTTGGGAATCTCAAAGGGGACCTTGGAAATATAGGAGCCTCAATAATTAAAATAGGGTTTGGGGGCCCATTATACTATAATCATAATAAGGAACCCCCCAAAATAATTAATGTAGGTAACTATCAAGGCCCCTACAGTATCGACGTTGCGTTGCTGCTTCCTCCAGCTTGCTGACTGTGTTGTAGCATACTGTAGAAGGTGTTCCATTGACGGGTTGAGGTTGCGGTTGTCACAGGTGTCTGGACAGCACAAGAACAAGCCTTCATGGAGCAACCGCGATTTATCCGCTCTCGCCTTGGGTGGAGTCGTCAGGCCTGCACAGCCTAGAAGTCCGTGTCGACGGCGCCTATGGTGCCACGACCTGGATTGGCGCCTGCACAGCGCGTTCAACTAACACATGGAAATATATAGAAACCGGTCAGCTACAGAACTCCTCAGTCCTGAAACTTAAAAGCTGGCAGTCATTGGCAAAAGAGTTTATTCACTCCCTGTCGATAGCACCCCTTGCTGCTCCAACCTGGATTGGTGGCAGTGGAGGCATGGAAAGCCTCAGACTGGAGGTCTGATGATTTGGTCTTTCTGGGAATGGCATGGGCACGGCGGCATTTGGGCCTTCTTGGGCTGCCAGGTATTCCAAGCCTCCCCCTTGGGAAGCAGTGGATGGCTGTGCAAGAGCCGCGGGCTGTGGAGTAATTCCCGGTGCAAAAGCCGGTGCGGAGGTGGGAGGAGGTGCAATTCCTGGTGGGAGTGCGGGGTAGCTTGCAAGGGCTGCAGGTCCGACCGATTCAGCTGGAAGTCCGTGTCGATGGTTTGGACCAACCTGCGCAGGAATGCCCGCCGAGTGCGTCGTGCTTGGAGCGCTTGGCAATCCCAAACGCTCCACATGTACGGCAATGTGCCGATCCAGATCTAGATGCATAAGTACATATGCAGCCTTTGTGAAGCTGTAGATGCCCGTGAAGACTTTGAACACAGTGAATGCCAACCATAGATATGTAATGTCGTACCCCAAGAGCTGGCGCCCTCCACTCTGTGGCAGGTAGGAAGAGGCAAAACTCAGGAGCATCAACGAGGGGAATGCCTCAATCATTTTCTCTTGCATCAGAATGGCAAGCAAGTTGTCTGTCGGCCACCCGAGCATACTGGACTCTGCAACTGCGCTGTATACTGTCAAGACAGTTCCTAGCCGCCGGCACACACGAGTTTCTTCCCAGAGGGTCATGAAAATAATGGCTATCTGGAACACCAAGAAGCCGTAGAGTTCCAGCTCGAAGTATTTCCATGCTGCGAGTCCATCCGACACAAAATCCCAAACGAATAGTAAGATGTCGACATGCAGCATAACGTACTCTTTCCACGTAGGCGGCAGCTCCGATTTACGCATTTGTTCAGACAGCTCTCTGGCCCTGCCTTCAATACGTTTTTGCAAGTTGGGGTCTGCTTCTGCAGCACCAGAGAAATCGTTTCTTACACAGAAGCACCGCGAAAGAAAGAGCATCCACAGCAAGAGACACAAAATCAACCAATCGTCAATTCCAAAAGCCATCGCGCCAAATGACACCTGCTGCTGATCGGCATTCGGCGCATCTTGTGCCACGAATTCGGGCGTGCGACCGAACACGTGCATGGCACGGGTCAGAGGGTAGAACGACAAAAACACGCCGACCCGCAACAGCATTGAAATGGTCAAGAACCATCTTGCTGGCCGCTGCTCCTCGGCCAAGCCCAAGGCAGAGTAGTCCCTGGGAAAAATCATGTGCAGCGACAAGTCCCTGGCGTCGAACGTCCAGGAAGTGAACGTACCAGACCTATGGAAGGCAGGTGCCGCCAGGAGGAAAAGCATGACGATCGACAAGCCTCGGCTACTTTCCAAATGGGTTGCCTGTTTCGGAATCGGTTCAGACATCATTGGTACATCAAAGAAATTGCGGTGTGTGCTAGAACCGCACTATGACTCCCTTTTGCCAAATTGGTTTCTCGTTGTTTACTGCGTGTTGAACTAAAGTGTACAAAGCATTGCGAATATTCGGAAACAGGATTTTTTCGTAGAAGGATAAGGCGCAAAAGCCGTTGTCGTCGTCGCAGTCGTAGTCGTAGTCGTAGTAGTAGTAGTAGTAGTAGTAGTAGTAGTAGTAGTGGTAGTGGTAGTGGCAGAAGTAGTAGTAGTAGTAGTAGTAGTAGTAGTAGTAGCTGTAGTAGTAGGAGCAGTGGCAGTAATAGTAGTAGTAGTAGTAGTAGTAGTAGTAGTAGTAGTACAAGTAGTAGAAGTAGAAGTAGAAGTAGAAGTAGAAGTAGAAGTAGAAGTAGAAGTAGAAGTAGAAGTAGAAGTAGAAGTAGAAGTAGTGCTAACAGTAGTAGTAGTGTAGTAGCAGTAGTAGTAGTTGTACTAGTAGCAGTAGTAGTAGTAGTAGAAGAAGAAGTAGTAGTAGTAGTAGTAGTGGTGGCAGTTGCAGCAATAGTGCTAGTGGCAGTGGTAGATATTTTTGGAATTATTGACAGTGGTAAATGTTAGCCTTACAGCTAGTAGCACCAGCGTTCCTGTTCTATCATGATCTGTTAGAGTAACATCCTCTGTGTATTGCACCGCATTCGCGCAGACCTCCTCGGCCTTCGATCGCAATTCTGAATTCTGAAACCTCCAATCTCATATCCTATCGCAGCTAGCGCAACAACGCTTCCCCGCATGAAACATGCGGAATGACTTGGACAATTGATTGATCTTAGCTGCCATCGATGCTGGCGTAAGCTGCGTGATCGACCAGTGGTATGCCTCAGCTGGCCGGGATTCCCAAAAAAAATCAGGCTTCAGGACTGGGTCGGAACGAGTTTCCTGTTCGTGCGAGAGGCGCACGTGGCAAACCTGACGAGCTCTTTCTGGTGGAGCCGGTCAGGGAAACTCCGTGGAAAAACAACTGGTCTTGTGTCAGCCGGCGGCTGTGTCAGGTTTGTCACGTTTCAAAAGAACCTCCTCTGTTTGGGCCAATTCTATCAGAGTTTCTTCGAGCACGCTTAGCCCCGGCCCCGGAGCCAAAGACCCTGGGCTCTGGGTCTGCGCCTGCGGTCCAGAGAAGCTCTGAGGAGGTGCCCGACTGGAACACTGAAGCGCAAAAGCAGTGGCGGATCAACTGCAATGGAGTTTATGTCAAGTTGCATCGAGGTTTTCAGGGCACTTACGACTTACGAAATCTTGGCCATGTCATGATGGAGAATCCGAACTTGACTGCGAGGAACAAGACGCTGAACTCTTATGTCGCGCATGCCTCGGGACAGCTGGCAGCTTGCTTTGCAACCTCGTGTTAGCCCACATGCAACAACGTCGAAGGACCACCCTCTCCATCTTGATCGTTTTACTGCCCTAAACCCCAGAAACAAAAAACCCGAAACCCTCAAACAGCCCCCAACTCCCAGAAGCAAAACAAGTCGAGGGGCAGTGGTGTAGAGGTACAGCAGCGAGTCGGGTTTGGGGACTTCTCCGGGCTCCCGGAAATGCGCCGTGACCCAGTTGTTCTCATCATTCAAGATGGTGCCCACCGCATACCAAGTACATGCCTCAGTAGAGTTTGGGTTTAGGGCTTGGGGCTGTGGGTTTAAGGTTTTGGGTTTAGGGTTTGAGGCCTAGGGCCTGGAAGAAAGGCTCGGGTATGCGTCTTAGAGGGCCCGTATCAGCGATTCCTGGTGCGACAGAACCCTTGGCCCATGTTATGAGGTGTCCAACTGCCATGGAGCTCATCCAAGCTACTGTAGACTAGTGTAGAGGTCTGAATACAACAGTATTCCCTTATAGGCCCTCGGCGCTACATAATTCATGTAATATACCCCCAAACCCTATTCTGATTATCAAAGCCTGCTTGGAGATAAACTGGAAGCCAGGCTGCTGTGAAGTGGTTGATAACTGTGACGGCCAGAAGGCTCTTGACAATGTTCAAGATCAGAAGCCCCCGATCCGTTATATGCCTCAGCTCCGCAGGACAGGGAGGACTCGTGTTCAGGAACGACATCGGGCAGTAGATGAACGGTGTACGGGTTGGACCTGCCTTTTGAAATGCTTTCTCTATGATCGAATATGATCGGCATCGCCGAAGGTCAGGTGATGTTGAAGGAAGTACACTGCTTCTCACGGGGCAGGTTTGCAGGGCAAGGGGAAGCCACGGGAACAGCACCGCTGCAATTGACTGCCGGGGTCACGGCCAGCATGTTCATGATCGCAAACACAAACATCGGGCGCTGCTGTCCCCAAACCCGGAACCACGCTACACTCCTAAACAACACCTGCAGGCTGTCTCATGAAGTCTTTTGGTGTTGACCTTGAGCTGCAGCCGCAGTGGCTGAGTCTGCATGATGTGGAACAGCTGCGCCAGAACAGCGATGCGGGCCTCACCACATCAAGCAGAAGCATTCAGAACAGTTCATCCAGCACGCAGCTCGCAGCATCTCCCGCTGTATTCCGAAAGGACAGCCTCCACGTCAGCGCGGTTAGTTGGTTTCGCTTTGGAAGATGTGAACTACAAAAAAGAAAACCTCGCAATGCCAGGTCAAACATCCATCGCCCACATGTCGTGGGGCTGCGTCCCTCAAAAGTCTTGAGTTAATGGCACCACTTCTCAAACCGGCCTGGGCTGATGCTGCCATCTGCATCTTGGGTTTTAGGCTTTCGGGTTTAGGGATTGGGGTGCTGTAATAAGGCTTAGGCAATTCAGCTTATCTGCCGGAACATTTGAGCTACATGCTTGTATCAGCAGTACGCCCCATGCAACGTATATCAACTGAGCTGACTGACAAGCATCTACGAGGCCTCAGAAGACAAATATAGGGGCCTGCGCCATTAGAATAAGGTTTCGGGGTAGAACAGACTATAATTAAAATAAGGAGCACCCAAGGCAGTAAGGTAATTATTCCGTTTTTGTATTAGCCCCACCCCCCTTTCGGTTGGGAAGACGTTCCAAAACCACATCAACCATGGGGACTTTTGCAGAACAGCCAGCACCGGACGGGGTTGTTCAACAGTCAGGTCTCCCAACTGAGGGCCGCTATTCCAAACGGCTCCGTTCAAGAAAACATGGTTTCAACAAAAACCGAAAGCGCAAAAAACCACACAGTTGAAGTTTGTGCACGTGATGGAACCTGTACAATAAGGAACCCCAAGGAATAGTATTGGTAACTGTTCAGGCATCCATATTACGCAGTCGAAGCTGCCTTCACCTTCGCCAGTCTCAAGACGCGCAAGAGCCGGAAGAGCCGGATAATCCGGAAGAAGCTCATGTACCTGGGGTTTAGGGTTAAGGGTTTCCGGAAGAAGCTGGTGTAGCTGGGCGCCAGAGTCTGGGCGATGATAGCATAGCCCTCGTGCTGGTAGTTCTGAGGGTATGTCTCTAACTATAACCATTGTTCGGAGTCATAACCATATAATCATAAACAAAGAATCACGAGCATACTCATAGTCATCAGTCATCAGCCTTATCATCGGCAGCATCACCACCGCCTTCGCACAAACCACTGTGGCTATAGTAGCATCACGGCAGTTAGAGCGGATCAAAAACATACTGGAGAGCAGAACAGGAGGTCGCACACAAATCCCGTGCGCGCGGCGCTGAACCCAATACAGGAGACCCAAATCCAGACCCAATATCCTGCTTGCCGTTGCAGCCTAGATGCCGCACCCACGTCGTGTCTTCGATGACGAAGATAAACATGTCCTTGGCATCGCTTCTCACTTGCCAGTGACGACAGAACCAATTCGCGTGCCCTGGCAGGCTCACAGGGGATCAACAAGCTCACCGCAACTAAGGGTCTGTACAACAAATGGCTCATCGCAATGTACTGAAGTTGGCTGAGAGGAACGCAGCAGATTTGCAGATTCCTGGTATGAACAGACTTCAAACGACCTGCTCTAAGGCCGTGGCCAAGCAGACTAGTGTGAAATCGAAGACGAACCAAGTCCGCAAGTAGTTGCGCGAGGTGGCAGCAAGATGTCTCTCCTGGGCAGAACTGCTTCGTGTAAATAGCAAGAATGACATTCCCATCTGGCTCCTTTACAACCTTAACACCGTATGTACGAAATCCCAGAAAGCTTCTGAAACTCGTATTACACCAAATACACATATAAAGCCCTACTCCTTTTTGACAAGGCCTTTGATCTCACACCCGAATACTCTAAGCGGCCCCACACCCCAGAGTCTGGACTTAACTGGGCCGACCTTTATCTCGAGCTGAGCTATGCATGTCGTCACCATCATCTCCAGTTTGAGGCTTCTTATGTTCAGCAAGGTGCAACTTGATGTGGTCTAGGGTTTAGGGGCTCTTGGGCTTAAGGGCCTCCATCATTCTCACTGTCCTTGCTTGTGGTGTTGTGGCTGCTGCCGTTCAGGGTCCTTCAGTCCCGACCAGTGAAGCTTCAGCTTTCCTGTTGTGCAGTGCGCTTTCAGTCAAGACCCTAAACCCTAATGTGGGAGCCTTAATGATTCGAATAGGTTTTTTCGGGTATATCATACCATGACTATAATAAGGAGCCTCAAACTAGTATAGGTAATTATTAAGACCCCTCTATTAAATCAGCCCAAGAACCCCGACCCTTCACGAAACCCTGAGCCCGAACTGCATCACTCCCGTCCTCGGTACCGTTCAGCTTTCCGTACGTCCTTGCAAAGGACCTCCGACTCGCAAGCGGTAATCCAGTCACGGGATTGGAAAGGGGCCACACTTAGCGTAGACCCACCCACAACATGATCATGAGAGCGGTCACATTGACAATGGGCAAACATGAACACGATTTACACGAAGAAGCAAAACGAGACATGGCACGCAACAGTGGCGAACGATCCCCGAAGAGCGAGTGCGACTACCCGTGCAGAGCCAACAAG